TGCGTGTCCTGAGAAGGTTTGGAAGCCGCTTACGAATCATCCCAGGCCAGAATGGATGGTTGGGAGGTATTTTTTTGCTGGACCAAATGCGACTGGGCCTTTCCACAGGGGTCTTCGGGGACGTCCGGCTCTGGCCGAGACACATCTGGCCAGATGGTGTCCATGGAGGACCTCCAAGTCCAGCTTGAGAACAGCTTGAAGCACCTGCATCAGAAGGAGCTACGCGTCCAGCATCTGAACAACAAGGTAGGGCGGAGATCTGGGGGCGCCTTTCGTTGCGTCAGGGCGAGCTTCTCCGGGTGGTTAACTAGGGAGAGAGGGTGTCCTTCCTGAGAAGCTGGCTATCTCCTGTCCAACCTCTGGTGGGTGGTCCAAGCACCTTCTGGGTCTCCAAACTTGGCAACTTGAAGACTTGTGTCGGAGCCTGAATCTGTGGGGGAAGAGGAGCTGGAAGTGGAGCCGACGGAGATCGAGGTGGCGGCTTTGTTGCTTTGGAGGACCCCAGGGGAGAAGCAGGCTGAGGCAGGCAGCTTCCAAACAGTCCTCGTTGGCTGACGTAGTTGCTAGGCCTATTCACTGGCTCTGTTCCAGTTGATGAATATACTCCGACATTTTAGCCGTGGTTTGTTGAGGGCCTCCATCGGTCGAGGGGGGGAATCGCACTGAATCCAGCCCAACGCCGCCAATATCATCACAGACACCTGTGAACCTAGCTAGCTACTCTCGGGCCTCCCTTGGGGACATGATGCTGGCTTCCCACGGCGGGGGTTGGTGGGCTCTTGAGGAGACCTCCTCACCAGCCTCATCCTCTGGCTCATCTCTCCAGCTCTCTCAGGTCTTCGAAGAGAAGAACGCGCTCGCCCTCCAACTCCGGGGAAGCAGCCGCAGCCTCCGCGAGAGTCACCAGCAGCACAGCGAGGCCCTGTCCCGTTGCGCGGCTCTCGAAAAGCAGCTGCAGGAGTGGCAGGGTCCGGCGAAGACCACGGTAAGGGCCAGGGAGAGGGTCTGGGGTCCCCCATCTCGGGACCCAACCGCGTTCCACCCCGGGTCAGGAGGGGCAGAGTGGGGAGGCAGCCTCCAGGATCCAGGTCTCTGCTTCTGCCACCCCTGTGGCTCCCAAGAGAGAGAGGAGAGAGAGAGAGAAGGGGTCTGGGGTCCCAGAGAGAGAGAGAGAGACAGAGAGAGACAGACAGAGGGAGGGGTCTGTGGCTCCCAAGAGAGAGAGAGGAGAGAGAGAGAGGGAAGGGGTCTGGGGTCAGAGAGAGACAGACAGAGAGACAGAGGTGAGGGTCTGTGGCTCCCAAGAGAGAGAGAGGAGGGGGCGAGAGAGGGGGAGAGAGAGAGAGAGAGAGAGAGAAAGAGGGTCTGTGGCTCCCAAGAGAGAGAGAGAGAGAGAGAGAGAGAGAAGGGGTCTGGGGTCCCAGAGAGAGACAGACAGACAGAGAGAGACAGAGAGGGGTGTCTGTGGCTCCCAAGAGAGAGAGAGGAGAAAGAGAAAGGGTCTGGGGTCCCCCATCTCAGGGCCCCTACGTGTTCCACTTGGGTCAGGAGGGGCAGAGTGGAGAGACAGCCTCCAGCAACCATGGAGAGAGAGAGAGAGAGAGAGAGATCTGGGGTCCCCCATCTCATGGCCCAACCACGTTCCACCCATATCAGGAGGGCCAGAGCCTGGATCCTGGAGAGAGAGGGGAGGGTCTGGGCTCCCCAAAAGAAGGGAGAAGGTCTGGGGGGGGCCCCATCTCACGGCGCAACCACATTCCACCCTTGTGACCCCCCTCCGGTCGAGTTTGGGCTTGACACCGGCGGACGGTGAAGGCAGAAGGAGCAGAGAGCAGGTGGGTGGGTGGGTGGGTGGGCGGCACGCTGGGAGCCCCCCCTTTATGCTGGGTTTCTACCCTAGGGCCCCCTCCTGACCGATGCCGCCCCCGGGGCCCCCCAGGAAAAGGACGAGACCAATGCACGGGAGCTGCAGGACCTTCAGGCGCAGTGAGTATGGCGGTCAAGTGAAATTTGTGCGGGCTCCTGGGCCACCAGTTCCCCTTCACCCCAATTTTCCACTGACCTCGGGAGCCTCTCCTCCACTTCCCCCCCCTCCGCCCCCAGGTGGGACCCCAACGGAGGTATCGGGTGCAAGGAAACGGGTCCGCTTACTAATAGCCGAACCAAGCAGTTTTATTGGCCTCGGCCTATCCAGGCAGTCCTTGACTTACAACAGTTCTTTTTAGCGACCGTTCGAAAGCGACCACGGCACTGGGAAAAAAGGGACTTATGGCCGTGTTACACACCGCTCTAGTAGCATCCCGCGAGGGTCCCGCGATCAAAAGTCAGAGGTTTGGCAACCGGCTCGTATCTATGACGGTCGCAGCATCCCTGGGGTCACACGATCGATCCCCTTTTCACGACCTTCCGGCCAGCGAAGCCAACGAGGGAAGCCAGAACCAGCTGAACAACCCTGTGACTTAAGTTAACCCCTTTTGTGACACAAAAATAACCGTCACAAAAGCAGAATAAATTCCCTTTCATGGCTCCAACTTGGCCCCCAATGTCCAATTATCCTCGGCTGGAGATCCAACTCTTCCAAAAAAACAGTCTGTGAAGGGAAGGAATGCAGTCCGAACCCAAAGTAAAGATAATTAGAAATAAAAAAAAAGCAACACAAACCACACTGAAGTAATTAACGCGGCAGGCCAGGATGATGAATTGCAGACTTTCAAAGGATAACGCAACAACCACAGTTGGGAGGGCGCCAAAACCCAGATAAGGCTCGACCAAGATAATGCACGCTTTGCTTCCAGCAAGGAGCCGTGTGCAAATGCCCCACTTATAGCCTGTTCTCCCAGCTGCAACTCATGAAAGGGATCAGGGCCCTTTTCTCCCCCGTAAGCCATGTTGCTCCGTTCCTCCCCGCATGCCCTAGGATGAAGAGGGGATGGCTCTGGGTCTTCCTCCGAATGTCCAGCCGGACTGTGCCCTTCCCCTGTATCTTCCACCGCCACCGGAGCCCCACTCCCGCTCCCTGTCGGCTGCTCGATCTCCCCCTCAGAGTCAGATGGCAACAAGGGCACGACACCCTGAAGTGTGATTCACTTAACAAATGTAAAAAAAGGTCGTAAGAATGGGGCAGAATTCATGCCCCGCTTAACCATAGAAAGGTTGCACTCAGTTGAGGTCCTAAGTCGGGGACTGCCCGCGTTTACAAGAATCTCCCCGGATGTCTTGCCTTCCCCTGGGAACCAGCAAACAAGGCTTCCTGGGCGATAGGTTGGGGGGTGGGGCTTCAGACTTACTCCTCTTGCAGCTTGTCAGGGTTCCGGCAATTGCCCTGTTTAAATCGTGAGCCTCGAGCCCAGCTTCAAAAAAAAAAAACTCAAAAGATTTATTAGGAGCAACGTGCCGGCATTAACCAAAACGAATCCAACTCTGGGATACGTAATTCACAGTCCCCTATGACCCTGTTTCCCCCCACCCTGGGTGTGTCGTAAATCAGATTCTCCAATGAAGCAGAGTTCACGGGCTGGGTGTCGTCAATCACATTCCCCAACTAAGGGTTTGCAAGGGCAAAAGATCCCGTAGCCTAGCTACACTCTTTGTAAGATCAGGGTGGTAGGTACTTCTGATTGTAAACTGCCGTACTGCTCCTCCAGATTTTCCCCCACCCACCCCCTTGTGTATGGCAATTCGAAAACAGGCCTAGGAATGCTTTACGAGTTGACCACAGCTATGCAAGGATGGAAGGCTACTTCCCTGCTTGACTCCTCCTTCCAGCCTGGCTGGTAGTTGCCCAACTGGTGGATCTCTTCCCTCCCGCCTCTGATCCCCGAGCTGATCCC